TTAAAAAAATCTATTATCTCTAGATTTGTTTTTGTAATTTGGTATCTAGAACTTAACAATAGTTTTCTTGACAAGTACTGTTTTTCTCTACATACGTTTTCTCAACTCCTGCCTACATTTCTACTTATAACTTCAGCCTTTATTCTTTTTTATGTGAAAAACATTTCTTCATTAGTTTAATGAGTTAAATATGACTGGGTCATTGAATGTTACTTAACTCCCCTCTGAACCCCTCGCTTACTCAGTAGCTTTTAGAATCATTCAGTTGCACAGTATATGTTTTAAGTTAAATGTTCAATTAATTTCAATCCAACCAACATTTACTCAGCACTTCTTATATGGCATGAATTGAGCTAAATGCTATAGGAATTACACAGACTGGTTTTCATTTGTTCACGCATTCAGTCAACAAACATTTTCCTGAGTACCTACTAAGGACCAGATTCTGGATTTGGGTTTTGGATTCAAGAAACTGAGTTAGACAAGGATTCCCTCTTCAAGGCACACACAAACAAAACTAATAAGACAGTGTGTAATTTTAGCGATGTAGGTATGGAACCAGTCATTAAGGGAGTCTTCAGAAAGTCTGCTTCACCAAACCTTTCTGGGTCAGGAAAAGCTTCGCAGCAGGGGAGATGCTTAAAGGCTAATTAAGCAGGAGCTCAGAGTCTACTGGAAAAATAAGACCCGTATTAATATTTGGTTACATTTGGCTGTAAAGCCCTATTTGTGAAAACCAACCTGTACATTCCGTGTGTTGCCCTAGACTCCCCCTACCCTGTAATCCTAATTGCATGTATGTGACATTTTTTATTCTGTTCAGTTTAGGGGCCTTGGAAGCAGCAGAATAACTGAAAAATAGGTGTATTGATATTATAGACTCACTTGGGGACCTAATTATTGCATGAATGCATATGCCCCTATTCCCAAGTAGGAAAAATAACATATATACACATAAAAGTAATCTCACGATGGTAGGACACATTAGAACGCCTTTCTCTATCCTTCCTTTCATTTACTTCTTGTAGAACAGCTTGGTGCTTGTGGGTTTCCTGAATGTCTTAAGCACTGTAACTGATAGATATTACCAGAAGAATTGGCACTGAATAATTATATATGAGGACTTACTAATAGTTTTTTTCTCTCTTTATTCCACAGTAATCATGCTTTTCTGATTTTTAGATCACAAGATCAGGTCTGCCTGTAACTGGATGTCTAGGAAAGAGTTCCTTTACCATTCTTTGCCTCAGCTTTGTCACTTGTCACGTGGTAATATTGCTACTAATACTAGCAATAGCACCAATATTACTTCACTGGGTTGAAGTAAAGAGCAAAATCATTAATCGCTGTGAGAGTGACGTGTATAACTGGTCACAGTTGCAAATACATAATGCACTGTTTGAGTCACCAGATTCCTAGTTACTTAAGGCAAAGTGAGTTCATCTTAATTATTTTTTATCTGTTTCTCCAAGCTTTCTGAGATAGCTTCATGTTTTACTCTCATCCGTTTACCCCAAAGTGACTGCTGGCAAGTGCTGTATGTTTAATAGCACTTGTTGATTGAGTTTTAAAAATGCTGCTGATATTTTTTGCTTTGGGTTTCTAAAAGCTCTCATTTAATTTCTAGATTGTAAGTTCCTTTGATAGAACCCTTATAAATATCACATGAAGAAGTTGAGCATTACCTTTAGGCCAAAGCAATTTACTTTTCAAGAATCTGATTAATTTCAACACAATCAGCCAGCATGTCAGAAGATCTTAGTGCCTCTGATAGATGCTGACAGGTGAGGAAATTAAAATCAGGGAGGGAAGCAATTAAATACTGGCAAACATTACTTTAATGAGACAACCAAATCATTCATAAGACATGGAATATGTTGTATTCTTGATAAGTATCTTAGGGTGGCGGGTGTGAGAGCGCATTTCATACGGGTTTTGATGATGGCAGTGGAGGACATTCCATGTTTGTCATCTAATGCCTTTGGCCTAATCTAACATTTCAGTTGTTTTGGGGAGCAGATGTCCTAATAATCATGCTTAAAATTAGGACATTGTTTAATTGAAACACATCTTAGTATAAGTCACCTTTTACCACCACCTTCACCACCATAGAAAACTTACCAAAATGCACAGTCTAGACAAAATGATTCCTGGCCTTTTCACAGTGATTTAGAGATAACCATGATCAAGATGGGTGGAAAGAGAAATAGAAAAATGTATATTTCACACACCTTCTAATTCAAAAGATTTGGGAATTATAGTGCTAAGAGTAGAAGCCAGGCCATTGATCCTCATGCAGGTGTTCTTTTCAAGATACACTTCCTATTCAGGAAGATCATCTAGGACCACAGGGCTAAAGAATTACCCATTTATGGGATTAGTGGGGGGGGTTTGTTGTTTTTTTTAATGGGAGTTTTAACAGGCTCTATCGTATTTCCCATTTGTGTTGTAGCACTTGTAAAATATCTAATATTAAGAGGCATCCTTACATTGGTCTTAGTGATTAGTTGGACTTTTGTTCATAATGTTAGCATCATCATTCTAGAGTAATGTTGCTTAAAAATTGTCCTAGGGTACAGTGGTTGATTCAAAAGACACTATGGTTTGTGAAGACTTGTTAAAACAGGTCTTTCTGCTTTGTTCATTTTTTTCATGTCCTTTTATTCTTTTCTGTCCCTCCTCCTCCCCTTACTCCCCGTTATTTTTCTTTCTACTCTCATTTTTTTCTTCCTGGCTTCGTTTGTTCCCTCTGCTTTCCCCAAAGTACAGTAGAAATGATCAATTATTTTATATTGTCCCAGTTAGGTTTGGTGAGTCTTGCTTTTACATAGATTCTAATTAATAGGTTGATGTTTTATAAGTTAGAGGTTGATTATACAGGTTTCTTTATTTTTGGCTGAAATTGCTTCTGGAGATGAGAACATTTTTCTTGGGAAAGGATGGGTGGTTTGACAAAGGATGCAGACCTGCCCAGTTCTAGAGCAACAGTCATAAAATACACAGAGGCAACCAAGGATAACTGGCTTCATTACCAAGACACTAGAGTGGGATTTGCCCCTTGTCCCGGATGTCTTTACGGGTCTAGTGGAGAACTCCATTGCATTCGGAAATACTCAGGGCTTACTGAGGACACATGGTCCTTCAGTCATGAGAAGAGGGCTGGTGAACATCATAGCTGGAAGACTTCAGCTTTTCTACTGCTTATGATGAGACTTGATGAAGTCACCTATGCAAAAATTTAATAGTGTCAACTTATGTTGTTTCTGTGGCTTTTGTTTTGAGAGCTAGCCAAGGGTGTTGCATCTCTGAAACTTCATTGGGGATAGCTGAGAAAGTTTTCATGGTAGCCCTGCATCAAACACTCCTGCATCAGCTTAGTAATGTGTCTCCTTCTGGTTAGACCACAGATGTGAAGTCTTCCCTCTCTCCTTTCACTTGCGAGTGAAGCAGGACTCAATGCTAAATGTGCTTTGGTGCCTTGGCGGTTGACTTTTATATGGTAGAGACTCATTTCCCCCTTCCCTCCAAATAGAGCACTCCCCAAATGAGAGGCTGCATTATGTAGTAGGAAGGTCCTTACTGGTTTTGGTGTCAAGATGCAAGGTTAAATTTTTATCTGTTCCATATTATCCATGTAATCTTTGGCGTTTAGTTTCCTTATTGGTAAAATTGGGGTAAAAAGGTCTCATTGGGGTTATATTGAGGATGATTTGAGATAAAAGAATCATGCAATATTTTTCATACTATAAAGTATAATGTTTAAGGATGATTAATGTTTTGGTTTTGGTGGCATGTGATAAGAATTTCTTGTATGGTATCTTATTAACCATGTTCTATTCTTAACCTGATTTGAGTCCTATGTGAAAATGGGATATATTACTAAAAATTCCCAGAGGTCCTATACTTTCAAATAAGTCTATCCATTGTATTCATTTCCTTTGTTGCAGTCCTGTTGGAAATTCCATTTCTCTTAACCTAAGGCATGATCTAGATACAAACTTTAAAAGACATGAGATACACCTCACGTCTTTCCTCTAAAGCAGTATCTCATGCTTTTGGGGACTGAAGAGACACTTGATTTTTAAATTTTGAGGCTTCGTCTTTCAGAACAAAAGTTCTTTGTATTTCTTGTTAGGTGAGCCCATGTGAGATTGACCTAGATAAATATTGTGGTGTTTTCAAAGTTAGAGCACAAAATATCTAACCCAGAGATACTCTCTAGCATTGTGTGCTTATAACATCATTGATCATATAAACATGGGCTCATAGGAAAAAAAGTTATCATTTTATATACCACCACTGTCCATATCTATATATACAAAATAATGGAGGAAAATCTTCCAAACAGAGTTTAACTGAGCTTTAGCTATGAAGTAGATATTATAATCTTCATTTACATACAGGAAAATTGACAGAGTTTCAGTAACTTGCCTAAGGCTATCAGTAAGAGGGAGACACGTCTGAGTGGCCCTGAATCCCATGTGTGTGCCCTACTTCCTCATGCCAGTCAAATATCTGGTTTTATTTTTTTATTCCCTCTTCCACCAAGCTTAGTGGATCAAGTCAATAAGCTGTTTGTCTTTGCATTTTCCCAACGTAATATCCTGGGAGGGAACACTGAATCAGAGGATCCAAACTTGTACCCTGTTGTGTGTTGTACTGTATGGTTTCGGGCAAGTTACTTACCTTCTCTCAACTGCAGTTTTCACATCTGTAAAATGAGGACAATAATACCCATTTCACAGGGTCTTTGTGAAGTTAATGGTGAGAACGATGTTAGTTCCCTATCCCTCTGCACTGCTCCTGTTTTCTCACCTGTGATCTGAGTAGAATAATCTCTTCCCACTTATTCATCAGGTTTCTGTTGGCTGAAGTGAGATAATGAATGTGAAAATGTTTTGCAAAACAAGAAACCATTATATAGATATAAGTGCTTATGGTTATTTATAAATAAAAGTAGCTTAGCACCTAAGGGTGATTTTTACATGTTTTATTCGCAGACACTGGCATTGCGGTTTGCTGAATCTGTATTCGCTGACTGTTCCGGAAGCCATTAGCTGAGGTAAGAGAGAATCGTCTTCATGTTTATGAAATGCTATTAGACATCTTAGACGATAATGTTTAAGGTGGCCTTTACTCCCAACAGAAGAAACAATGGTATTTCTTGAGCACCAAAACCTGAAAAATGGCCAAGACAGTGAACTTCCCTCCTTTTCTGTCTTCTTGGTTTAGTTTCCCCTTTTAATTCTTACCCCTTAACCCTCCGTCAGGCACAACTGATCTCACAGGTTCATTGCACGCAAAGATGCCGCTGTGAAATACGTCTTTATTGTACTAAGTCACAGCCACGACTGGCGATAGGTTACAGTAGAGGGGGAAGATACGGAGGCGATGAGTCACAATACTTAAGTTAAGTGATAGATATTTGAAAATTTGTGTGCAATGAATCTGTGAGATCATTTGTACCCGACGGAGGGTTAAGGTTTAACCAAAAGCACAGAAATCTGGGCCACATGGAAGATTAAGATTTAATGTTATTTAAGTGTCCATAATACGCCATGAACTAGAATGTTCTTATCTATTGTCTTGTATCTCCAGCTATTATGTGGCAGGAGGGCTTTCAAAGACCAATTTCCTGGTCTTTAATTGAGTGTGTTTTCATTATAATGCGATGCCAGTGTGCCCTGGCTCTGAAAGGGCTAAATTTAACTAGTCAGGTCCATCACCATCTCTCAGTTGCCTAAAAAACATCTCAAAAAGATATATTCCAAGGCTACAACAACAACAACAAATCCTAAGAATAAGAAAATGAGTTAGAATCTTTTGAAATGCAGGACTCATAATATCTGCATGCCACTCTCCTGGGGGTCTGCTGTGAAGGAGCACAGCTCTTCACAAACGAATACATTCTTCTTGAGTTTGTCAGGAAAATGGAGGCCAGAAAAAAAAAATGGAAGGAAGCATGATAATTGTAAAATTTTCAAAATGTGAGTATTCTCCTACAGCTAACTAGTGGATGTGTGTAGTTCCCAGTTAGCTCTGCTGTGTGTATGTCATCTTTTAGAAGTCTTAGGCAAAAAGTGGTGAAGTATACAATATGGGCTTCCTAACTGCAGGACCTGTAAAGTAACATCTTTGTGGCAGATTTGATAGAAGCATCAAAATAATGTAAACATTTGTTCCGCTGAGTATTTTGATAATCCCTTTGGTATGTTATTTCCATGACTGGGAACTTACAAACATGACTTCAGTTACACAGACCTTTGAAAGAATTGAAGTTTGTTGGTAGTGCCCCATATTTGTACGAGTTAGAAGTTTAGAATTAATTGGAAGTTATGGTGTTACATTAATATGATTTTCAAAGTTAATATTCACCATACACATTAAATAAAAACACGTCATGTGCAAACAAGGTGGGTAATGCATGGGCTGTGAAACTCCTCTACAGTTAGATCAAACATAGCAGCCACTGGCGGTGTTTAGATTTTAGTCTCATGATTATAAAAGAGGGTTACAAGAAAAGATAGTGGCTAAAAATACAAGAATGGCTCCTGCCCATCATTTGGTCCCTCTCTAGTCCATAAAATGTCCCTGCAAAAATTTTTCTTTCTAATGCATTTTATGTATTTTCATAGATAAATATATCAGAAAAGAATGTACTTTAGACATGTAATATCACAGGTTTTTATAGCTTTGTTAAACAGAGATCTAACTTGTTCATTTAGAAACTGCAATGATTATATTAACTTTTCTCCTGATGCTAATTGTTAAATATTAATAGAATAAGCTTCAAAAAATGGTTAACTATGCCTCCATCCCCCTTTTCCATTGAAATCTACTTTGAAACTACAACAAGTTTAATCAAGCCTTGAAAAGTCATGAAAAATTGCTCTTGAGAAAGAGGGATTTTCTATCTATCTATCTATCTATCTATCTATCTATCTATCTATCTATCTATCATCTATCTATCTATCTATCTATCTATCTATCCATCCTCTATATTTTGGCGTCAGGGGCTTGTAGGGAGGAAAGGATAGAAACTTCTCAAATAACTTTTGGAAGGTGGAGGAGTAAATATTCTGGAGGAATGCTGCAGAATTTAAAATAATCTTGTGGTAATAATTGGTATCAGTGGCAGTAATGAAAAAAGAATAACAGTTTAAATAAATAATTAGACTTGACAGTAGATGTGTCAACAGGTTCCCACTTAATGAATATAATCATTGTTTTTTCTCTGCTCTCAACGTTGATCCACTGACTGTGGCATGTTCCTTCACCCATTTCCAAACCCAATCTATTTAAAGCTGCGCTTCATGGAATCTGAAATGGTATACCCTGTTTACTATTTAGAGCTGATACCAATGTTCTGCAATAGGCAAGATCTGTACTTGAACAAGAACAGGCTTCTGGCCTCCTGTAGACCGTTGATTATTCCTGTTTTCCACTGGGTGATTCATTAGCAAGGATGACTAATACCCAATTAATTCTCATGGACTTATCTATATTGCTAGAGTGAATTGTTTATTACAATTGGATGGAAGCAGCCCTCGTCTACCTTAAATCAAATTAATCAGTTATTATTTTCTGAGGTGGAGGCATGCTTATCAATTAGATTATTTTTTTAGGTGCCTGGATAAGATATCATTGTTTTGGGGAGTGAAGCAGTGTGTTTTATGTTATGGTATGTGAACCAGAAGTCATGAGAATCTAATTCTAATCCCAGCTCAGGCAGTGTCACCTTTGGCAAGTCACTTTGCCTCTCCAGGATCCGTTTCAGCATCTAACAACAGATGGAGTAGGACCAGTTGATCATGACATTACTTCTAATCAAATGTCCTATTACCTGTGATTTTATTTCTTTCTCCTTTCTGCTGCCACTTTTCCAAAGTCATAGGGAAGTCCTATGACTCTACTGGACAGCCTGTGTGAAAAGTTATTCTTCTATTACCTTTTGATTCCCCTACATACCAGAAGAGCAGTTAGTGATTTGTATTGCATATACACTATGACTGGGCATTTTATGCATTGATCATCCCTTACTCCAGCAATATCCGGTTTCTGATTAGAAAGGAGAAAAAAAATCCATCTTTTTTCATGTTTCTCTACTCCATTATCTGGGTCTCATTTTTAAAGCATCTGTTGAATTTATCCATTGGTAACAGCAGTGGGGTCCTGTTCTGTTGTTTGACTTTTCCAGGTTGAGTCATTGACCTATAAGGAGAGGTCAGTGTGTCAGAGCCAGCTGGGACTTTAGGAATCCATCTAGCCCGATTCTCCCATTTCAAAGATGGAGATTTGGGGGTCAGGGAGGGAATTCAATTTGTCTAAGGTATTAGTGGCAGATCCAGGATTAGAATTCTTTCTTCTGACTCTATAGTTGTATCTCTATTTTAGGAGAGACATCTTTCTATGAACTGTCCTTTCTCAACCCAATATTTAAAGGGCCACTGTCTTTCTGGCAAAACCAGTGTCAAGCCAGGGATGTGAGATGCCCTTAAAACATAAATAGATTCTAGGCCTCTCCATCAATCCCATGGGGCAGTGGAATAGACAGTGCTCGCTGGCTTCTGCTCTCTGTGTTTACTAGGAGTATATGGATTCCCCTGCTGTCCTTTCTGTAAGCGCTTACGACCCTGACATCGCCACTGTTTCCTCCACCCTCCTCCTGCCCTTTTCTGATCCAATAAATTATAGGAAGCTGAGGATGAGCGCCTAGTTGGCTGTTTACTGTGAATAGTTGGGAACATTAATAAAGAGAAGGCAGACGAAGGATTAAGAAGCAAGAGGACAGGAGAGTAATAGCTTACACAGTGAAATCTAGTTCAAGGCCTAAAATTCCCAGTTGCTGTGCTACACAAGATTAATAGCAGTATCTCTCGCTCTTTCAGACATTCTCTCTGCCTTGTTCTTGTGGGACTGGGCTGGGACTGAGAAGCAGCTGGAATGATCTTTGCCAAAACCAAACTCATGTTTTCATGATATTTCCAGGTCCAGAGAAGAGAGTAATTATTCATTAGTTAGAAGATAACTTAGAGGCCACTGGATCTAAACATTTATCTTGTTCTTCCTAATACTGAGATACAGAGCGTGGAAATCATTTTCCTGAACCTGAGGTTCCAGTTCTGGCTTTAATTAATTTGCTATGACTTTGGTGAAGGGATGGTCTTCCTTTGAACCTCAGTTTCTCCATCTATGACATAGTGGAAGGAGGAGGGTGGAATAGCTGAAGGCAAAAGTTCCCCCAGCCCCTGATTTTCATGAGCCTCTGATTTGCCCAAGGTCCCATAGCAAGATTGGAGCCAAACCCGATCTTGAATTCAGACCCCCTTTTTCTGGTTTGGAAGTTATTGTGATGACTTCCACTGCCCATATTTTCTAAACCGTGTGTTTGCCTCCCTCAGCCTTGTTTTATTAAATAAATGTTGTCTCTCTCAGTTGACAGGTCCCTTTCTGTCAAGGGACTTGCCTATTACCATTGTTCTTTGTGTGTGTGTGTGTGTGTTTTGTGTGTGTGTGTTTTGTGTGTGTGTGTTTTGTGTGTGTGTGCATGTATGTTTGGGACTAGGGGAGAGGATTATGGAATATTTGGAAACTCATATCTTAATCCATGAAATAATTAGAAAATGCACATGTGTAAAGAATGTTGTCTATGATTTCAAGAGTTTTGTAGACCTCCTGAAGGCTATACATAGGTTCTAAGTTAAGCGGAAGATGATTTTCAATGTGGGAAGTCAGAGGTGATGTTTGGGTAACATACATTTCCCATTGCTGTGGGAATTTTTTCCCACAGTTTACCTGTTTTTCTCCTGTGGGTGTCACCTTATTTTTGAGCATGATTGGACTTTTGTTTGTGTCAAATTGTTGAGTGATGTTTTAATACTGAAGCTCCTATTCTGCTCACTTATTTATTCACTTATCCACTCACTCAAATTACTTATAACGTAGAATCTGCTAAATGATAGCCATTTTAGTGCATTATTTCATTTAATCTTATAAAATAGAAAATTATTTTCCCCCATGTTTCATATGCAGTTCAGAGAGGTTGAGTACTTTGCCAAAAGT